TAGTATTTACTAGATATAGGGTAGTTGGGTATATATAAGAGGAGGACAACGTGACGCGGTAATGTAATGTGCGTGTAGACAGTGAGTAATTGATCCGCAGTCAGAAGTATTATTGAGCACGTTCGTTGTTATAGCGTTTGTTTAGCGCGATTGTTGAAGTTGAGTGTATCGTAAAGTTGTATACGGAAAGAATAAATCAGTTTTATTAAGTAAAGACTTGTGTCGTTAAAGTTTCGTCGGAACGAAGTTACAGAAAGTTAATTAACAAACGGAGACGTAACAATATACAGTACATGTTCGTTCTATTTATACTATCTGGTTATTATCTAGTCCGTACTGAAACAGTGGCGATCTATAGGTTCTCCATTCTTCATAGTTTTGTCAAATAACAGGTTATTTAGAAAGAAAATATAGGCCTACATCAAATGACTGAACGTGCATTAAACAGATAAAACTACTCAACGATAGATGAACTGGTCTTGGTACATTGTTTTTAAAATTCAATGAAGTTCACATACTTGCAAGATGTTTTTTAACAGCTGCAGCAGCTAGACAGTGATATAATATATTCGAATGAATCAAGGCTAGAGATTACAAATTAAAAGAAAAAAACCCACAGAGGAAATTTGGAATTTGTTTTCATTGAGCGATATTATTACAAAATAGTAACAGTAATTTTCTCTTACAGTCTTTGTCATTACACATTAAATACATGAAGTACATATTCGCCTGTAGAACATGTCTGTTATTTTATTCATTCGTGGGAGAAAAACAAGGCAAGCAATCATGACAGCAAACCCTATGTTAACCTTTTTTAATTAAAAGCCACATTGCAACTTATGACTGCGTGTACGACACCCACGAGCATATTAGAACTACAACAACAGGATGTCTAAACAGCTACTAAGGAATGTTTTATAAAATTACCATATTCGTGGAATAATTACAGATCCAATATTCACGAGAACAAGAAAAATAGAGATTAAAGATCAATAGGGGCTTGGTTAACATCAAGGTAAGAAAGATTAAACTTTATCAGCTTAAGAATATTGTCGTGAATGTTGAAGCACACCGGTACACAAATAGCTAAAGGGTTGTTTAGTCTAAAAGTAATTACTTTTAGTCTAATTACTTAGACTCTTAATGCTCATGTTACTCTGTATGTTATAATTTTACACTAATTCATTATATTTAATCAATGTTTACTTGTAACGTGAATCTATTTTAATAATTATTTTAAACATTATATATGTCAGCTCACGAAGCAGGCATATTTATGATAGCCAAATTATCGAATAGCTTTCGAGGGTCAGGTATTTAAAACGAATGCTCCAAAAGAACCATAATGACATTTTGTTGTTTACATATAATAAATACATCTATGATATGATAACATGTTTCTTAAAGTTAATCACTTATTTTGACATTCTTTGTTTAAGAGTTAGAACTCAAAAACAATTGAATTTCTTTTTTCATACCTTTACACGGTGGCCTGCTGGTTAGGGCGCAGGACTTGCTCTGTCACATCGAACATGTTCGCCCTTTCAGCCGTGGGAATGTTATAATGTTACAGTCAATCCCACTATTCGTTAATGACAGAGTACTCCAAGAGTTGGTGGTGGGTGGTATTGACTAACTGCTTTCCCGTTAGTCTATCACTGCTAATATAGGGACGGCTAGCGCAGATAGCCCTCAAATAGCTTTGTGCGAAATTAAAAACAAACCACACCCTTACACAGACATAGATAGTCATCTACATGTGTCTAAGCTTTTAGATATCCAAGCACAGTGATGTGATCATGTTTTATGTGACATATCTGTGAAGTAAATATCCAGATTCAGTTTACTTGTTTGATAAATAGGTTTAATTTCGTGATTTTTCCCAGTGTTTTTGCCATCAGCGATTTAAAGTTTATTCTCCATTGTTATTGACATTTATTCCGCATGTTATGATATAGAATATAAAACTACAGGCTCTAACGCAGATCTAAAATCTATTTTCACATCAGCTGAAGCCACGCCCATGCACAGTGTAAATAAATTACAACACATATACTCTAGTGACCGATATGGCCTGGAAATTTCGTCTTTACCGTAGGCGTTAAGGCGTCACAGTTTTAGGTGCCTTTCCACGCATATAGACGAATCCATATATTCAAAGTATAAGCGGAATGAAAAGGGTGGAGTAATTTAATTCGAGTCTATATGTATATACACACACACACTGTCTTACTACCTATATATATATACACACACACATACTGTCCTACCATATATCACATACTATCCTACTACCTCGTTGTCGATA